TTAACACACACACACACACACACACACACACACACACACACACACACACACACACACACACACACACACACACACACACACACACACACACACGCACACACACGCACACACACACGCACACAGACACACACACGCACACACAACTATATATATATATATATATATATATATATATATATATATATATATATATATATATATATTAAAATCTCTCAACAAATTTAATTAGCCCCTACAACAACAAGAAACAATACCAATATATTATAAAAATTATATATAATATTTAATATCATATATTTGACGAAAAGCAAATAAAACAGATTATCAAATCAAATCTTACAGCCGTCGACAATAAAAATGCGTTAACCTAATAATTAACCAGGCCAGTACGAGTACACAAAGTGCATTTTTGTGAACACCCAACTCGTTTTAGGCTAGACGCGTTTTGTTCCTTGTGTGTTAGTAGCCACCAGTAGCCCGAGTTAAACAACAACATAGTGCAATTCTTATCTAATTAGATAAGATCGAAAACTAAAGTGTTTCTTAGGTAATTCACAAAACACATTTTAGTCACTAGGAACATACTGTTTACTTTGCCAAATAATAGAAAATTGAAAAAGTGAGTAAAAAGTATGAGTGAAGTATCCGTCGATATATATAGATCTGTCCAAGTCAGTATCTATTGCAGTGTCTAAAAAACCTAATGCAACTGAATGTGAGCAACATCAAACAATCAGCTTGATGAATCATCTTGAAAAACTTCTTTGGAGAATTCTAATGATGAGAACAGGAAGCTAAATCACATTTAAAATCTTGAACGTTCAATGTGGTTTTGTCGAGGATTGTGGCACAAGGAAGGCTATCTTTCTGCCACGAATGATCAGCTACGAATGACAAGCAAATGAGCGATTGAAATGAAGAAAAACTTGTTTATATGTTTTGTCGAATACTCCAAAGCTTTTGATGGCGCGAAACGCGTGGAGCTTATAGAAATATTGGAAAACTTGGACATTGATGGAAAAGACACGAGAGTTATCAAAAACCTTTATTGGGACCGAAGAGTAGTGATTTTCGAAATAAAAAACTAGTTAGGCGAAACTGTACATTTTTAAAATCTTGTAAAATCTCTATAGTGAGATCAGCATAAAAAAGATAGAAGATCTACCAGGAATATTCATTAGAGGCGTGAATATAAACAATGTAAGATATGCTTATGGTTCATCTCTTATAGCGGAACAAATGGAAAACTGCAAACAATTGTTTCCAAATTGGTTTTTGAAAGTGAAAAAAAGGGCTTGCATATTAACATCAACAAAACAAAGTCCATAGTTATCAGTAAAAACAAAACCGCCTCGATCTGTTCCATAATCATTAATGATAAACAGGTGAAACAAGTCAACAGCTTCAATTTTCTCGGAAGTAAATGGGATTTGGATATCAAAAAACGCAACCTGGAATTTGTTGTTGATAAAAACATATCTTCCAACATTCACACAAAGGCACTTTCAAAAGAATGCTTTGGACAAGTGCATAGGCTTAGGCTCATCTAACATTGCGTTCTGACAATTCATGTTTACTATTTATACCTGACACAAACTTGCTATTGGTCGTAGGAACTTTTCCGTAATGGGATGGTTTGCCCAGGAATCTTTGTGGTCCTGAGCTGTCTGTTATTCAATTTCGTAAAAGGTTGAAACGCCATCTCTTTGTCCGAGCTTACTCGCGCTTATGTTTTTCAAATCATTGCATTACCTTAACAAAAACTTCTATATTTGTTAGCGCCTATGAGATTTTTTATAAAGGCGCGTACAAACACACTAATAATAATAATAATTACAATAATAATAATAATAACAACATTAATACAGTAATAATTTAAACCTATGGTTGAATTAGCAACATCGCCAACGTAAACACGTGGTCCTGATAAATGTGATTTGGAGAAGTCGTATTTGGATTTGAGAAGGCTGTTGGATGGAAGTGCAGGAGAGAGCTGGATATCATTTTCTGTTGATTAACAAAGTTAATGATGGTGTCACGATATAAGCTTGAAAGATAATAATAAAAAAAACATGTTGAAAATTTTGTAAAAATTATTTAAATATGTAATTTCTAAACAAAATATTCTGATTAAAATATAAGAAGCATTATTTTAGTCTCCTAAATATTAATTGAAATTGCTGCAATAACCTGGAATGACGTTGGAAGAATTGGACATCAATGTACATGTCTTTTGTTTCAAAGTTAAACTTTTGAATTTTGATTCTTCTAAAGTTTGAATAATTGATTAATCAATAATAATAAAATAATTCCGAATCATATATACAGAATGTACATACATAGGAAATCAATATTATAAAACATTGAGCAGTCATGCTTTGCAAAGCACACATTTATATCCCGAACTTATAACATAATTAACTAGTATTAATTTACCTGTTAGATAGTGGTTACTTTTCAACGTCCATCTTTCAGCGGTCGAACTATCGTCGCTCGAATGGTCGTTAACGAAATCATCAATGTTCCCGTTGACCTCCCTGATGTTCCCTTCGCCATGAGTCCACAGGTCGGGAGGTTTGAGATAGGACTTCCCACTGGATGGGTCAGGAGAGGTCGGATTGTCGCTACTTTGCATTTGTTTGAAAGTGTTTTTAATACCTTAAATTACTAAATTAAATATTATTAAAAAATAGCATTTCATTCACGACTGAAAAATAACGACACCAAGAAAATTTTAAATTCTATTATCGGTGATTATTAAATTTAGAGTATTGAAAACAATAAATTTAAAAGTTAAAACAAACGAACGAACAAATGAATGACCGAGCCAACCAGTAAGTAAACAAACCAACAGCAGCATGCAAACAAACAAATATAAAACAAGCAACAAAAACAAATTTACTCACATTTCTTTATTTTGAATGACGATCTTGTTTCTTTTAACTTTTATTATTACAAAAATGGAGACAATGATGACCAGGACAAGAACGAGAGAGATGATGGTCATCAACATTGGCAACAGTGACCACTCTTTTGAACTTTCGACATTTGATCGTTCTTAATGAAATATAAATTAATTTTTTCTTTAATTTTATTTCAAATATATTTGAATTAAATAAATCAATTTATCTTTTAGAATTAATTCATCTGTTAAACTTTGAACAACGTCGATGTTGAGAGTTATAAGTTTCCAAATTTACTTGAAAACAGTCAAGTTACCAGCGCAAAAATAAATGCATGCTACAAAATTCAAGATAGAAATTATAAAATCAGATTTTGAAAATACCTTCTTGATGAAGAGTATGGTTTAGCGGAGTATTTTTTTCCCCGTCTGCAAATTTTCGCGAAGATTACTTTAATTTATAAATTGTTGACTAATATTTTAAATTTAATAGATAATAAAACTTATTAATGCATTGCATAAAATTTCAGCTGTAGGGCTAAGATAGTTGAGACGAGCCGAAATAACGGTAACGTTGGAAGGCATGCTTTGCGTTAAATGTTTGAGGTGGTATTAAGTTGGAAAACTAAAGCACCTTCACCTAAGAAGTTGTGCATTAGTGGAATTCTGTTACACGAAGTGAATGTTGTTAAAGGCTGTGCGATCAATATTCTGTATAAGTGATACACCATAAGAATGTACGATAACATCATTGGTGAACATTCTTAAGAAACACTAGATAAAAGATTTATTAAGTAGTTAAAAACTCAAAAATATTTCAAAAACGACTTAAGCGTCTACTCTGGCTCGACCATGTTAATTAATTCAAGAAATCATTAACAACTACGAGCACGTTAAACATTGTTGTTTTTATATATCTACAAAATAGATTTTTACGTTGAGAAAATGTTGTATGTCAACGAAGAGATTTGAAGTGCGCATAGCATATGATAGCCTTTGAGCTTCGGTAAGACAGTATTTGAGCCAGGCCGTCGCGTATTAACAGCAAGAGACATGGCACTCATGACACTTCTACCGACTGAGCTAACTTTCCGACCAATAATAAGTAATTTTAGAAATTCATCAAGCCAAATAAAAGTTACCAATTTTATCAGAGGTTGTTTTGAAAAGAGCGGTGAGAGAAACAGGACCTACTCCCACCGCATTGACCGCCTGAATTTTGAAGTAGTATTTTGTGTTGGCAGACAATCGATCAACAGTGGATGAAAAAGTGTGTCCAACAACTCGTTTTGTTTTCCAGTGTTCGTCTTGCAATGTTACGTCTTCTGAATACAACACTAGGTACCCTTTTGTGTGTTGGTGTTGTACGTTTGTCATTTTATTGAATTTGCGACAATGATTTCCAGAAGCAAGTTTTAACTATTTTATCAAAGTGAAATGTGAAACCGCTTTTGCATGATAGCATAGTAGATGAAAACATAATACATGACAATATTATACATACGTGACAATATGATACATGATAACGTGAAAGATGATAATATGATGCTGATTATATGATTATATAAAGCTGAATTTTGGTATAAATAGCGGATCAACACCGCTAAAAAATCAACAGTATTCCAGAAGCGTTCGAGTGATCAACGAACGTGGCTCGGTCCCCCGAGAATGTAAGGTTGTTAAGGGCCGAAACATTTGTCGACAGAGATTTGGCTCAACTGAGTTCTCACATACTATGATGCATGATAATGAGACACCCTCTAGTTTACAACACAATCAGCAAACAACCTGTGATGCGCCCATTAGGATTGGTTGGCGGTTGCCATGACAACGTCACTTTCGTTGGGTCTTTATTTCTTGCTAAGTGTAGTTGAGTGGGCGCGGAAGTAGGAGCTGCATGAAATATAAAAAACCATAATTATCATCATAATTTGAATGTAAATCTTCAAATTGTAGTTATCATTGTTGTATTAAAAACTGTAAAAGTAATTGTATAACGATGCAGAATAAAACATAGTTTTACACAGAAACATTAGGCAAGACAGTTGAGATAAGATTAAAAAACAAAATAAAATAAATATTAAATAAAAATGCATTTAAAAATTTGTTCGTATTTATGTATTTAGAAATCGACGAGTTTGTTCAAATCTTAACATTCATCAACTGCAAATAAATTTCTTTTTGGCAAGAATTTAAACAATACCTGATTCCTTAGTTTTTTCCACTACGTTGAGACTCCATGAACTTTGTCTTTTTCCAATTATAACTTTCACGCTGAAGATGTATTCCGTGTCTGGTCGCAAGTTTTGAACGACAGTCTCCAACTTTGTAGTGTTAAGATATTTGTAGCCGCCCTGCAGTCGACTTTTGAATCGAACAACGTACACCCTCCCATCTGTCGTGCCCTGCCCAGGTCGTTTAGAAACATACATGACGAAATTAGTTTCGTTAACAGTTCACTTTTTATTTATAAAAACTTTTAAATTGCCATAATCGCAAAAATGATTTGACGCAATTCCTCTATGAAATTAAATCTAACGATTTTGCTACAAATTGTTATAACTAAAATGCTTCCATTTTGTTTCTTATATGTTGTTTTAATTCACTTCGATTTTATGTACGGTTTCTATCTTTATAACTTGCGGCGTTATTTGTTAGGCAAGAATAATCCCATTAAACAAATTTTTGAAACATTGTTAATGGCGTGTGCGCGCTAACTTTAAAAGAAACCAGCACTAATTTTGCATTTCATTTATTTTCCACGGACTTAAAAACTTAAAAGAAGCTAGAAGTAGTGTCCAATTAAAATTGAAAGTAATTATTTATAAAAACAAATTGTTTTGAACACATTAAATCAATCATTATTCACTATAGCAAAATATAATTACATATTATAATGAAATGAACGTACTTTTATTTTTTGCAAACGTTTGAAGCTAATGTCGGACCACGACAACTGAATGGACGAGCTTGATGATGCGGAAGATTTTAGAGCAATTGGCGAGGACATCGGCGGAGGAGTATCTGTGCTGTCTATCAAACCAAAAAAACTTTCAATTCATTCAATTTTAATCATAAATTTCGTCAGTTGTTTTTGCTTTATATAACATTGACGTTTTAACGTAAACAGTATAGTTTATCATAACAACGCATTGAATTATTTTAGCATTTGCTGCACAATTGTTCCTAAAAACAGTGTCGGAGTCGAAGTCGGAGTTGGAATTTTTTGATGGACTAGAGACGAAGTTGGAATTTTTTGAGAGACCGGAGTCGGAGTCAGAATCGGAGCCGGATTGTTTCATCCGACTCCGAAAAATTTAAGTAATTTTAATCAAATTTTTTTTCTGAAAAATTTTTTTAGATCGTGTTTTTTATAAAACGAATATATGTAGCAGTACACTATCTTTTTTATCACTGAAAGTAAATGCTAATAATGTGGATAGCATGTTTTAGAACATATAAAGTAATTTTACTGAAAAAACAATTATATGAACTGATTTAAAGTGTTTTTAAAGTATTTTTATTTAGTAGTAATAACAAGGCAAAACTACGATGCAAAAGTTGAATATTTATCTGAAAGTCAAAACCCGGAGTCGGGTATTTTTACGTAGAGTAGGAGTCGGATATTTTTTGAGGAGCTGGTGTTTGAGGATTCGGATATTTTTCATCCATGTCCAACACACTCTTGATGTATATAATTTTATTAAGTTTTCTGTCACAATTGTGAGCATTTTTTGATAAGATTTTAGAAAAATGAAACTGAATTAATTAAAAACATCAATGACAAACATTCGTCATCTTTTGTAAAAATTGTTTCGAAGCTTGGTATTCCATTTCCTTTCTTGTTGTAAGCTTTCAAACTGATCACGTATTCCGTTGAGATTTCTGATAGCAGCAATAAAACAAATACCTTTACTCATTTATTCATGTATTTAATAAATGAAATGAATATTATTTACGCTGTCAGTAAAAGTGTATATAAGAAAAGAGTTTGTCACTAATAGACATCAAATTACGTGCCCAAAGCATTTTTATAGCATTATTGTAAAATTCAAAATAAATGAGTTAATTAAATAAATAATTTGAAAACATAAATTTTATGTAATACGGCTATAGAAAACAGGTTTAATGAAAGAACAGCTAATAAACTAATGTAAGTATCATAAAAATCAGTTAGTCAGCCAGCCATTAGGTCAGTTAACAGCAGGTCAGTAAACATCGGGTCACTTAACAGTAGATCACTCAGCCAATTAGTCTATCAGTCAGTATTTATTTATTATTTACGCTGTCAGTAAAAGTGTATATAAGAAAAGAGTTTGTCACTAATAGACATCAAATTACGTGCCCAAAGCATTTTTATAGCATTATTTTAAAATTCAAAATAAATGAGTTTATTAAATAAATAATTTGAAAACATAAATTTTATGTAATACGGCTATAGAAAACAGGTTTAATGAAAGAACAGCTAATAAACTAATGTAAGTATCATAAAAATCAGTTAGTCAGCCAGCCATTAGGTCAGTTAACAGCAGGTCAGTAAACATCGGGTCACTTAACAGTAGATCACTCAGCCAATTAGTCTATCAGTCAGTCAGCCAATTGGTCTATCAGTCAGCCAGCCAATTAGTCTATCAGTCATTCAGCCAATTAGTCTATCAGTCACTCAGCCAGTTAGTCTACCAGACAACAAAAATTTCTTTATTGCCAACCGGCAATTTTTATTCAGTGCACACGTGGCATATATATGTTCAAAAGCACGCACCACAAGTGGGGATCATATTTTACTCGAAACAGTTTACCGCAACACAGTACCAACAACGTAAGTCCGGCGGGTGGAGTGTTGTTAAAGTTACAGACTTCTGCGATCAAATGACTGGGTTCGAATGCATGTAATACGCGTTATTTTTGCGTTATAATTTTGTAGAAAGGTAACTCCACACTATTGAAGCTATGCACAGGCTGCTATAAATAACATGAAACTGATACCTAATCAACAATCACCGCCCGCATTACCTTAATGAAGTAAATCAAACAAATTTACAAAATACAAATTAATAAAGAATACCTAAATTACTGATGGTATAAGACGTCTGATCAGACTTAATGTCAATTTCATCATCACCAGGCATGCCCACCCCGTAGCTCAGCTTGTAGCCCCTGATTTTGATGGTGCCGTCTACAGGTGGCGTCCAACTGATGTTTAAACTGGTGGATGTTGACTGAACGTTCAAACTAGATAACCTTCCAGGCTGTTTCATTTCTGTTTTGAAAAGTTGGCACTCAATAAAATTTACCTAGTTCAATTTTTATTTATTTTCAAGCAACTTTAGTAGAAAATAAATAATTACACATATTTTTTAATTGTTTAGGTATTTAGGTATCGATGTTAAAAAATTAATATTTTTTCAAGAATTTAAAATAAATTATTAAGGGTTCTGTTAATGAATATTTGAATGTTGAAATTTTAGTAAATAAAAATGAAATTCATTGAGTCACCGTTGAGATCATATTGAAGAGTTCGTGCACTTGTCCACTCGGTGTACATTCCTGTTGAGTTGTTCACAACTGCACACATTCGCACCAACCATTCAGAATTTCGAGGCAGATCTGCAGAGATTCCAATAAAAAAACCTCGTCAAATTTTGAATCTGATCAAAATTAATAGATTTAATTGATAAGCAAAATATTTTCAATTAGTAAAATTTGTTTGCTCATTATTTATCAAAATTTATAAAAATTTTAAATTAAACAGTAGCGTAAAAAACAATAATTGAATTAATTTTTAAGTTTTAAAATAAAATTTGAATTAAATTTAGCAACCATTAATCTCCAGACTCCTTTTGTGACCGTCAATTTTAGATGTTATCATTTTATATAAATCATCCTCTCCCGCTCTCTTGTGCTGAACCAAAAATTCTAAAAAATGGATGGAGTCTCTGTCGAAATGTGAAAACTGCCAGGTGACCAGGAGCGACTTTTGGGATTTGTTAATTTGTAACTTTTATAGGTTGCGAGCATTAATATTATAGCGTGCATTTTTAAATTGTAAAACTAAAATTGGTTTCTATTTTTAAAACATAACAAACGTAATAACAAAATTTCTGTTATTTTCTGTTATATAAATAACAACAACAGGTAACAGGCAGTTTTTAAAACCTTTGAATCTGTTGCTCGAACATTCACGTTGTGAGGCACATAAGAGACAAGACCTACAATTATTTGTTTGTTTGCGTATTTAAAAATTTTCATATTGATACTTCAACAGAATATTGGAATGAAACAGTCGAAGGAGCGTTGAAAAACATTTTATAATTAAATTGCTAGTCTAAGTAAGAGTTAACTAATTAACTCAAAAACAAAAAAATTTACTTTATGCACTTATTTAAGAATTTATTTTCTAAAAACTTTCATCAGAGTCTGGGGTTTATGAATTGAAAATATAATAAATAAAAAACTTACTGTCGCTTGCAATTTCTGCTGAATTAGACTCGTAATCTGAATATGAATAAAAATGAACATTTGTTTTTTACCACCACAATTAAATGGCCAACGATGGCTAACCTTCAATGTTATGCACCAAAAGTTGTGTTATGGCCTGTATGTTACCGAGCCTGTTATCGGCAACGCATTGGTACAAACCAGCGTCACTAGAAAACAGATTGCTGATTTGAAGGTCGCCTGTTTTTGTTACTTGCAAATATTCGTTGTTCATGAGTACATCCCCATTTTTCAACCACTCGAGCGTAGGGTGGGGTTCAGCGTGCACTCGACACTTCAACAGCACATCCTCATCCACCCTTGCTTCAATAACTGCAGCATTCGCTTCAACAAAAGACGGTAGAGCTGTCGGGTGCATGATGTTAAATAAAAATTTCCTTTTTATTCATCTGTGCATCATGAAGTAATTCGTTTCTTAGTTGAATGTAACATTCATTTTTTGAAAAGATAATATCAAAATAGTAAGAAACAATATGAAAAAGAAAGTTAGTGGAAATGGTACATTGAACATTGAGGTGGGTCTGTTTGCTGTATCGCCGTTTTGACGTCTCGACATGCAATTTGTAGAATGCTGCATCATCACTGCTCACGTTCTTTATGTAGAGACTGCATCGTCCGTGCTCTTCATACTTTCCTTCACTGGTAGTTTACAACATTTTGTTCAGTTTATTTAAATAAGGCATTGATCAATTTTACAACGTTTGAAAAATTTATTGTAAAAATTACAAAAATAATCACTTTAAAAAACTTAAATATCCTACAGATATAAATAGGCTTTATAAACGTAAAAATAAATTTGACATAAAAAAAGCCAGGTATCAAATCAATTAAAAAATAACTCACCTGAAACGTATTAATTCATCATTTTTTGTCCAACTGAATTTTCCACTTTCGTGTGAATCGACGAGGCACTCGAGGACAGTTGTTTCTCCGACACGAGCGTTCACCTCAAAGAAACTAACGTTGTAATTTTCTCTTTTATTAGGATCTGTTGTGTTAAATAATAATTTCATTTTCATTAAATATTCACATAAATACAAATTGCATGTTTTAAGTATGTCAAATCAAAAGTAAAATAACATTAAATTACTATAAATTTCTGCTTCTGCATTACCTTTTGAAGGATCCACAATAAGGTTCAGACGTTTCACAATCTTCTTGAAATCATCTTGCAGATACATCATGCATTCATATATTCCAGCGTGATGGAATTTTGCTCGAACGATTTCAAGTTGTGCATCCACGTGTTGAATGATATTATCATGTTTGAGATGAGTTAAATTTTCTTTATATGTTAATTCATTATCATCTTCGTCATATTTTTTAACATTCATTTTTTGTCCATTCTTCAGCCACTCGACAGCTCGATGGTCCACAAGTTTCAGTTGATCATCGTAGCAGGGCATAAAAATGTTGCCATCTTGAGAAACGTGCAAAGTTACATTGTGCACCTCCCTTGGTCGACCGACAACTGTAGCCCTCCTGGACATGACAGAGCCGACATTTTTGATTCTTGCTTCACACTGGTACGTCCCTGCGTCTGTTTCTGAGGAACTTTCGTCGAATGATTGGATGTACAGAGAATTGTTCATCAACAGCTGCCTGCTTTCAAGACATCATTAACATGCATTAATATTAGTAATAATAATGATTTATAGTTTTTATACAAAATGCATAAAATGTTTAACGCAAAAATAATAAATAGACGTATAATTTTTTTGATGAAAATTTTTTGTTTGCCGGTGAATAAAATAATTTTAGAAGTCTTTCCTATATTTAGCGTAGAGTATTTAACATGAGTAAGTTTAAAAAACAAAATTAAAAAAATCACCTGTGAGAATCGTATGTTTTGATGATTGAGCTATCTTTCAACCAGACCACCTCATATGGAGTTGGCGAATGGACAGCACAATCGAGGATCAATGAATGACCTTGAAAGACCGTCACGTCATATGGTTCTTTTTCAAATGCAATTGGATGATGTTGTGAGAGGGAGACGGTGACTGTAAAAATAAAAAAAATTGTTGCTGTTTAGAAAACGCTTGAGAACTTTCGTTTCAAATAATTTAAAATATAAGATTTAAATAAAATGTAAAAATAATTTAATAAAACGTATAAAACAAAGAGATAACATTAATTTTTGAATCTTAATCCACATATTATAATACCTACTTGCAGTAATATTAATGAATAAATAAAATAAATCATCTGAAATTAATCTCACATCTGCTCACACCTGCATCTGCGACAAGATTTCTGCTCAACACAATTCAATTAATCACTTGAAAAACATTTTCTAATAAACAATCTCTTCTTCATTCATTCGAATTTTTGTTTTTCTAATATTTGCATGGATGCCTAATCGTTTCTTCAAAAATCAAACTAAATTTATAAATACATTCATGAATGACTGTTGTGTCGCCATGATGTAAATGTTCAAGACCAAAAGTTTATTAATTTATTTATCACAATTTATTAATTTAATTTATTTATCCTTATTCATTACCATATTAATAATTATTTATTAGTTTATCATTATTTATAAATTTGTCATTATTTATTGATCTACTCATAACTATTTATTTATTTATTCATTGTTATTAATTAATTAATTTATTTATCAATATTAATTTTTTATCAATATTAGTTAATTTATTTATTTTTCTTCAATATATTTACTATCACATGCTAATTTATTAATTCACTTTTACGTTATTTATGTTAACGAATCACCGTGCTCCAAAACATTAATGATTTTACTCAAGTGACAGACAAACATTCACACTTCATTGTTTGTGTCACGCCTGCCACTGTTTACCAAGAAACCTGTCCCATTCCTGTTATACGTGCTAACTAAATATAACTATATACAGTATTTTTCATAAGAAATATTCGTGCCAAAGTGGCAAACATATTGCATTTACTTATTAATATTATATATAATTTAATTAACTCATGTTCATGCGGTTTGCCAGTTAAGTCTTTGTTGCTTAAAGTGAATTTAGCTTTTACAATTTACCATTCAGTTGGAATAAGAGCGTTATTAATTTTGTTAGCTGAAAAGGTCATATTTGTTATTGCAAAAATGTTTGATTTATATTTATGCTAGTTAGTTTTTTAATGAAATTTAGTACGTTGTTACGAATTTGGTCACTGTATTGTTGCTGTTGAGTTTATTTTTGGTACTGTTAACATTTGTGTTTGGAATCATAAGGATTGTGATGACTGCCATGCCGTACATGAAACACATCGCCCTGTAGATAGCATTTGTTATGGAATAACATAATTTAAGTTTACATTCCATCTCATCAGTTACTTCATCATTCACTTATATTTCATATAAAGGCATTAGAATTGTCCGTTGTTTAAGAAGGATGTTCATCACTAGTTCAAAATATCTATATGTATTTCTTTCAAATTCAGCCAGCGTAACGCTTTTGAAATTTCGAGTTAACGATAGCAATTGAAATGATAAAATACAAATTGTAAATGGCATAATAAAGATGATAATAATAATGATAATAATATAATAATTGTTATTATTAAGAGTAATTAACTCAATATTTTTGTTGATTTAAATTTCCCCTTGTCGATGCACTCCTTACAGACCTCCTCCATCTCCCCCTCAGCCTGCCATCAAAATCATCATCACCAGCAATGATCTTTTAAACAGATGCCAAATGCAAAAATACAAACACACACACATACACACACACATGCATACAAAGACCACACACACACACACACAACACACATACAAAGACACACGCAAAGACACACACGCACGCACGCACACACTAATACTACATCTATTTTGTTTGCACTGCGCTTGTCTCAAATTTCAGCCCTCTCCATTATTTTATTCCTCAACATTTGTACGCGATGTATTGTATGTATCGAATTTTTAGTGGAAGTTTTTTGTAGATGCTCGAACCAATGCAAAATTTTTTAGACCAACAACGTTTTATTTCTGTTTGATTTGATTAATAAGGTTAATTTATTTCATATACTCGGCTCTTTTTTAAAAGGTCAACGCTGAGCATTAGAAAAATATTTTTTGTGAAAAACATTGAACACCTAACTACCTACCTACCTACCTACCTACCTACCTACCTACCTACCTACCTACCTACCTACCTACCTACCTACCTACCTACCTACCTACCTACCAACCTACCTACCTACCTACCTACCTACCTACCGGTTCAACAACTTCACTTACAATTTTGTTATATCGCGACGTTTTCACCATTCAGTTTGCAACATTTTTTGCCTACGACCCTTCAAATCTTCATTCAATTTCTTTGCAAACAGACTCGTTTGTTTGCCAAGATGCCTCGCCAGATGGTCTCACGCAGGATAATTACTCCTGGCGATGGTGAAATTTTCTACTTCAATCAAACCGATAGCAAACACGATACATGCAGCATTTTGTTGGATGTGTAATAAATTAAATGAAACCAAACGGCCATGCAATATTACGATAATCAATATTCCATTTTCGTACAGTTTAAAATGGACATTATTAAAATTATATTATTTTTTTTGTTTGTTTTGCAGACCAATAGTTTTAGGACATTGCATATTTAATTAAACACACGCAAACACTACACGCACACACACACACACACACCACACACACACACGCACACACACACAGACACGACTGTGCTTTGGTAGTTAATTAAAGTTTAATGTGGGTACATTACATGCAGCTCCCCTGCGACGCATATTTGTGGGGAAGGTAGGACACATGATTGAAACGAACAAATGAACGGACATATGAACAAACAAACAAGTAGACAAACAAACAAATAAACAAACAAACATATGAACAAACAAGAGAGCAAACAAAAACACAAACTAATGAACAAACAAATGAAGGAGCAAGCAAACAAATGAACCAACAAACGAATGCACCAACAAACAATTGAACAAATGAACAACACACAACTGAATAAACAAACATTCCATAAATGAAATAAGCTTTAATACGGAGCAACTCTGAAGACATCACAGTTTGCATGCTGTACAAACACACGTGAAGGAAAATTTAATTAAATAAACAACTTTTGTTTTTAAAATTTCTCAAAAAACATTTTAGATAATCATAACATTATTAATATATTTTTCATTGAAAAAATGAAAATTCATATAAAGCTACAACATTAAAAAGGAAGAGGACAAAAATAGAAACCACCAACAAACAAACAAACAAACAAACAAACAAACAAACAAACAAACAAACAAACAAACAAACAAACAAACAAACAAACAAACAAACAAACAAACAAACAAACAAACAAACAAACAAACAAACAAACAAACAAACAAACAAACAAACAAACAAACAAACAAACAAACAAACAAACAAACAAACAAACAAACAAACAAACAAACGAAGGAATGAATGTATGAATGAATGAATGAATGAATGTATGAATGAATGAATCATCTCGACAGGGACAGGTGACTTTGGAATGCTCACCTATCGCGAATTCATCGTCGCCATAACGACAACTGCCCTAAGGCAATGTGCAGGTTTGATGAAATGCTTGCTTTGCATTGCATTATATCCACCTCATTTTAAGCCATGCATGATGATTATCTTAAGTAAGACTTTCTAAAAATAATCGGCAAATCATTTTAACATATTATGCACAATTTATGTTAAACTTATGATTTATTAATTAATAATTATACATAAAATTAAAAATACAGTTCGTATAAGTTTAAAAAATTTCAAATCATTGATTTTTTTATTATTTCAACGTTATAAAACTTCATAGAAATCGCAAGAACGTCGAATTGTTTTCAGTTGACGAATGAATGGTGAATCGATGAGACATAACAAGCCGCACATTCATTCCACATAAAACTTTCAATGATTACAAATGCAAATGTCTTCAGTTCGTGCTTCCACCTTCCACCGCTCATGACTCATCCTGAACGCGTCCCGCATACACTGCACACTAGTAAGCGAACATGCACGTATTCATGCGTGTACGTACAAACTTACCTACTTATATATTAATACATACCTACCAACGCAGACATACTGACGCAGACTTATATATTAATACATACCTGTACAAACGCAGACATTCTCGTACATACAACACGTACGTTCAGAGATATCATACTTGATTTCTTGTATTGACTGATAAATGCTTGCGCACATTCGCACAAACATACACGTATGTGCATGAAAAACCAAGACATGGACGCACACACACGTAGACAAGCACACACGCACATTCACAAACACACACAAACACACAGATCAGATACACACACGCACACAAGCAAACAAACACAAACACAGCGTATGATTTAGAAGACAATGATTAGCAACGTGGCGCAAGGTTGGTGCTGATCATGATGATCGATGGCTTATGCTTCCATCTATGTTATTTTATTTCAATCACATGTTTCATCATTAATTGCTAGAGCCATAAAAGCTGATATGAATAATCCCATCGACTTCACTGGTTATTCAACAATATTAATAATAACAATAATACTAATATTATTAGCTCTATTAATAGCAGACAACAGACTGTGCAGAATTTTTGTCATAAATTTGATGTTATTTTTAAAAATCCTCCTACAAACAGATGCATTTAAACGATCAACCACCGTATATTTTCCTATTCTAACTTATATTATGGGGCTGTGGTGTGGTGTTTGTGATGGAGTTATTATGGGGTGGTTACGTAGCTATGCTATGTTAGTTAGATGTTAGTTCGTGGTGATGTTACGCAATAATGTGTTGTAATGATCCTGTGGCAATTCAATGTGATGGGCTATTTGTGGCGATGATGGGAAGATGTTTGTTATGATGTTTTGAATGATGTGTTGTGGTTATGTTTTTATGCAGTTACTAGTCGGATTAGTTTTGCATTTCTATTACTGTTGGAATTCAGATAAACGTTTAATTTGCGTTTGAAGCAGCTGTGTTCTTCTATCGGAAATCTTGAGACACCCACGGAATAACGAACACTCGACGATCGTTGGAAGCTGCAACACTGGTGTTGGAAATAAGAATCCACGTCGTTAGCCTAACTATTTTAAACATAACCATCCCATCACCACATCATCAAATTGCATAACATCACAGACACCACCACAAAACTCTTGCAACTGCAACCTGATAACCACGTTTCATCGGCGGCCACAAACCAAACACACTCAACACGCTTGATGACGATAGCTCTTATCGCGTACAAGTTCTGCTATCATCATCATCATCATCATCATCAACGTCATCACAATCATCATCGTCATCCCAATCTTCAGTATCGTCACAATTGACATAACATCATTATCAAAGTCTATCAGCATTAAACTCGAGGTGTATGTAGGAATAAAATGAAGGCATCATCCTTATTATTATTATTATTATTATTGACGCTAATATTATTAACATTATTATCGCAACAGCCAACGATTTCAAAAATTGACATAATAGTAAAGAAAATTTATTGGAGGAGTTTTATTGTTATCATCAGATGTACGGTTTGGCTGCTCAGCATTTATTTACCAACTGTCACTTTGACCTTTATATCGTTGCTAGGTGCCATCATTTTCATGTTATTGTCCTTAACATCCTTATTGTCATCAACCTAAAATCCTAATCCGCATCATCATCACCAACATCGTATCATCATATGATCAAAATCATCATCATGATCCGTCCATCATCGTCATCACCATCACTATCGTTCTCAGCATATTAACATAATAATAATATTACTACTACTAACTACTACCACTACTACTACTAGTTA